CGTACGCGACGAGCCCAATCAAAGATGGGTCTCTGTTGCTCTGTGGCTGCCGCAGCTGGCAAGAGGGGGGGGAAGGGAGAGGAGCAGCTGTGGCTGAGGCTGCGGCTGCTGTTTGACTCGTTTAATTCAAATTAGCTCGCTTTATAAACGAAGCCGTTGATGTCTCTGTCGATGAGCTGACACAGAATTATATATATATATATGTATATATAGGCTTGATATATGCATAGACATACAGCTATATGTATGGCTATATATATTTGTATCTATATATGCATATAGAATTGCCTCTTGATTCGGTTTTTTCTTCGGCTGCTTTGGTGTCTCCAGCTCTGGCTAATTTATGGCCACAGCGCCATTATAATTCTCACTCTAGCTAACTCGCTCTGGCCTACACTATATATATATATCTCACTCTCCCTCTCTTTTTCTGTGTCTTTCTAGCCGTCTAATGTTTATTCAAATCTGCTTTGCCTTTTGCAAAAATCTTGAACTGGAGTGAAAAGTCTGCGACAGTTTTGTCTGCCACGTCTAGACGCAGGAAGCCTTCGCAAGCTGCACTTGAACTTGAGACACCCCTACTTTTAATCTGTTTCTCTTGTTGTGTTCTTTTTTTCCGCCTGTCATTAGGGGCACTCCCCTCCCCCGCTCGCTGGGAACGACATGTGAGCGTTTGAACAAAACATTCATGAATGGGGGCTGCCCTGGGAGGCGCATTGATAAGCAGCCGAGTATCGTTGTCGCCTTGTTAGGCACTTGAAGCTGGTAGGCAGAGGGGCAGAGAGGCAGAGCAACAGAGAGAGAGACAATCACACACATACTCACACACACTCGGGCAGCCAGACACCTTTTGTTTAGCCGTAGATCTTGATGTCTGCCGGCTCATTGGGGTTGCTTAGTGGTTGCTGCAGCACAGCGACTGTTGCTGCCACAGAGCCGCAGCAACGGCTGCTCCAGCGCTCCCTGCGCAACTATTGTCAGGCTTTTAATTAAAGATTTCAATTGGCATTTGTTAACCAAGCATTAGCTGCTGAGCTAGCTCATTTAAATGCATATATATATA